TTGATTGTTCTAGCTTAAAGTTACACTGGATTGAAGATTGATCAAGAAACACTAGTTTTCTCTCTGCATAATTTCTAGTTCCAACAAATCTGTATGTTTTTAATTATGTACTCTGAACTTAATTGCTCATGGGACAAGATCAAGGTGTTGTAGAACTGAAGTTTGAATATTGTTGAATGCCGATTTAACAAGGGCTTTACAGTGGTCTAAATTAGCTCCTTTTGGGGGAAATTTGGTTGTGTGACCTAATGTTATTGTTTACCAATTGAGCAAAACTAGATTCCTCTGCAGAGTTTTCAATATGGACAAATTGTTATCTTTTTAATTATGTATTCTGAAAAAGGCTTAGTTATGTATGAAAAAGGCTTAAATACTATATAAAGGTGCTAGCTTTTATAAGCTAAGAGATTATGCTGCATCACACAGACAAAATAAGAAGCCACAAGATTGTTAAATTTAACATTTCCATAACTAAACATTTCAACAGTGTTCCTTTAGGTTCCTGATTGTTATCTAATTTGGTTCTTTCCTTAACATTACTTCCATCTGGTGTTGCAGCTGAATGCAGAAAAAAGCCCTTTTCAAAGAACATATGCTGGACAGGTGATTTTCTTTAGTTAATGCATCTGTTTTTTAGTAACTTCTTGAACTTTTTATTAATGAGACAATGCTTTAAAATTTTTTCAATTGTGAAGATCAAACGATGTGGAGAAATGGCACGAAAATTGCGTTACTTCAAAGATCAAATGTCAAAGGCAGGTCTCACACCCACACCAAAAACCGAGGCACAAGGTGATATTAATCTGGATGATTTAGAGGTATATATGAATTTTAATACAAAAAAATATCCTCAATGAGGCTCATATTTGTCATTTTTTAGGGAATTAAAATTAACCCTTGTTTACAATGGCTATTTTTTTTTAGGTAAAACTTGGAGATCTTGAAGCTGAGTTGATTGAAGTAAATGCAAATAGTGAAAAGTTGCAGCGTGGGTATAATGAGCTTGTGGAATATAAGCTTGTGTTACAGAAGGTATATGGAACTACTTTTTGTCATACAATTACCAAATATACCCTTAATGTTCAAATTATTTGCCAGGCTGGCGAGTTTTTCAGGACAGCAGAAAGCAGTGTTGTAGCTCAACAAAGAGAAGTTTCATCTGATCAAACTCCTGAAGAATCTTTGGAAACTCCTCTTCTAACAGATCAAGTACAAACCATGATACTAATCTTTTTGTATTCATTATTTTATTTTATTTTTTTGTTATCAATTGATTTAAATAATTAATTTGCAGGATTCAAAAACTGAGCAAGGGAAACAAGTGAAACTAGGGGTTCTTGCTGGGCTTGTGGCTAAAGGAAAATCCATGGCTTTTGAAAGAATTCTATTTCGTGCTACAAGGGGTAATGTCTTTTTAAGGCAATCTACTGTTGAAGAAGCTGTTGTTGATCCTAGCTCTGGAGAAAAGGTCGATAATACCCTTCTTCTTATTATCTTTATTGGAAGGAAACTGTAAATTTATATAATCATCTTCTTACTTATTTACCTCTATACAGGTTGAGAAAAATGTATTTTTGGTTTTTTATTCTGGAGAAAGAGCAAAAAGCAAAGTTCTCAAAATATGTGAAGCTTTTGGAGCAAATCGTTACCCTTTTGTGGAAGATTTAAGCAAACAAGAACAAACAATAACTGAGGTATGCATTATGCAACAACATTTTTGTCAATTATTATTGTTACAACTTACAATAACTGAATTTTTTTTTATTATAATTATAATTTTTTTTAGGTATCTGGAAGGACATCTGAGCTGAAGAGAACAATAGATGCTGGACTTTTGCATCGTGGAAATTTGTTACAAACAATAGGAGAACAATATGAAAGGTGGAATCTTCTGGTATGTGTTTTTTTTTCCTTCCATTTAACCCTTATAGATAAAACATTTCTTAATCTATATATTTTCTTTAAATTTTTTAAGGTGCGAAAAGAGAAATCGATCTATCACACTCTAAACATGCTCAGCATTGATGTAACAAAAAAGTGTCTTGTGGCTGAAGGGTGGAGTCCCATATATGCAACTGAACAGGTATTTATATTTCTATTTTTTATTTATATAAATAAATAAAAATAGTAAATTACTATTTCTTGCATTTAACCCTAATATTATTACCTTTTTTTTACAGATTCAAGATGCATTGGCTCGTGCAACTATAGACTCTAACTCACAAGTTGGTGCTATATTCCGAATTTTACACACAAAAGAATTACCTCCAACCTTTTTTAGAACAAACAAATTCACTGAATCCTTTCAAACAATTGTTGATGCATATGGGTGAGAATCATTAATTATGTGAATAACTAGAATAAATTACATTTTTGGTCCCTTAGTATAGTTGGTTTTTGTAATTTTGGTCCCAAAATGTTTTCTCTTACAATTTTGTTCCTTTTTTGAAGTTCTTGTAACGTATTTTTGTCCCTGTTACATGTTAAATTACTCTTTGGTCCCTTAGCATAGCTGATTTTTGCAATTTTGGTCCCAAATATTTAATGATTTCACTTGGAAACGTTACAAAAATCTCAAATAAGGACCAAAATCGCAAGAGAATTTTTTTTGGGACAAGAATTGAAAAATAGCAATACTCTGGTACCAAAAATGTAACTTAATCAAATAAAACTTTTACTTATGCTGAGTAAATTACATTTTTGGTTCCCATTTAGAACTGACTTTTTCAATTTTGGTCCCTAATATATAGTGATTTTACTTGTAAACGTTAAAAAAATCTCAAATAAGGACCAAAATCGCGAGAATTTTTTTTGGGACAAGAATTGAAAAAATATCAATACTCGGGTACCAAAAATGTAATTTAATCAAATAAAAGTTTTTCTTTTTTGAGTAAACTACATTTTTGGTCCCCAGGTAGAACTGATTTTTGCAATTTTGATCCTAATAAGTTGTCTTTCAAATTTAGTCCTATGAGGTTGTTGTAACTTGTAACGTATTTAGTCCCTATTTCAAGTAAAATGATTATTTTTGGTCCCCAAATTTTTGCAATTTTGGTTCCAAAATATAGTCATTTTTTACTTGGAACAAGGACCAAAAAAAAAAAAAAATCAGCTACATTCAAGGACTAAAAATGTAATTTACTCTTATTCTCATTACCAAGAGTTTTAATCTGGTGCTATGCAGGGTTGCAAAATACCAAGAAGCAAACCCTGGAGTATACACTGTTGTCACATTCCCATTTCTGTTTGCTGTAATGTTTGGTGATTGGGGCCATGGAATATGCATATTGCTAGCAGCTTTATTTTTAATCTTCAAGGAGAAAAAATATTCAACTCAGAAGCTCGGAGACATTATGGAAATGACATTTGGAGGACGCTATGTTATATTGCTCATGTCACTCTTCTCAATCTACACCGGCTTAATCTACAACGAGTTTTTCTCAGTTCCATTTGAGTTATTTAGCCCTTCAGCTTACGTATGCCGTGATACTTCTTGCAGGTAAAAAAAATAAATAAATAAATAAATAATATTTTGTTTTAAATGAATTATATTTTAAAAGTTATTGAATCGTTTTGTAGTGAAGCTACCACTATTGGACTGATAAAGGGGAGGGACACCTACCCATTTGGTGTGGACCCCGCATGGCACGGGAGTCGAAGTGAACTTCCATTTTTAAATTCTTTGAAGATGAAAATGTCGATTCTTATTGGTGTAGCACAAATGAACCTTGGAATAATAATGAGCTTTTTTAACGCGTTGTACTTCAAGAACCCTGTAAATATCTGGTTAGTTAGTTACTTCAAATAGTAAAAACATTACTCTATGTATGATTTTTTTTTTTATAATTGTTTTTTAATTTTCAGGTTTCAGTTTATTCCTCAGATGATATTTTTGAACGGGTTGTTTGGATACCTTTCGTTTCTTATTATTCTTAAGTGGTGCATTGGTTCAAAGGCGGATTTATATCATATAATGATATACATGTTCCTTAGTCCTACTGATGACCTTGGAGAAAATCAGCTTTTTGCAAATCAAAAAACAGTTCAACTTGTGTTGTTACTATTATCCCTTGTTGCTGTCCCATGGATGTTGCTTCCCAAGCCTTTCATTTTAAAAGCACAATACAACAGGGTACGCTTTTTTTTTTTCTTTTTTTTTTTTTTAACTCAAAATTTTTTAATGGAATTTTGTTTTTTTGTAAACCTTAGACACACCAAGGGGAGTCCTACACGCCACTTGAAGGAGAAGATCAATCATTACAAGTGGAGTCAAATCATGATTCACATGAAGAATTTGAGTTTAGTGAAGTGTTTGTTCATCAACTTATTCATACGATAGAATTTGTACTCGGGGCCGTGTCAAATACAGCTTCTTACCTTCGTCTATGGGCACTCAGGTGAAATGACTATAATACCCTTTCTTCAATAACTAGTGTTATGTAATAATAATCTTGAGTCTAATAAATTATAAGTTATCTTTCAGTTTGGCACATTCGGAGTTGTCAACCGTGTTCTATGAGAAGGTTCTTCTTCTTGCTTGGGGGTAAGTTAACTCCACTTGCTTTTGTATCTTTTTTTACTTAATCTGGATAAAATGACTTAATGGCCTAACTATACCTTTTTACAACATGTGAAGGTACAATAATGTGATAATTCTTGGCATTGGAATTCTCGTGTTTATTTTTGCAACGGTTGGTGTGTTGCTAGTGATGGAAACTCTTAGTGCCTTTCTACACGCTTTAAGACTTCACTGGGTGGAGTTTCAAAACAAGTTCTACGAAGGAGATGGGTACAAATTCCATCCTTTCTCCTTCATGTTACTCGGCGATGAGGATGAATAATTGTTTAATTATTTCACACTCTTTACAAACCACCACGGACTTTATACTTTATACTTTATTTATTTATTTATAATGTATTGTTTGCTACTACTATCTATCAACAATAATAAAGAGGTGTGAATGTGAGATTGTTATTTATGTTAATTAAGCATTCGTACATAAAAATAAATTATTAGAAATTAGAAACAGATTAGTAGGTTTGCAGAATGTTAGTGTTGGGCAACTGCAACGACTGTGGAGACCATGGAATCAACACCACAAACATTAGGACCTTTACATATTTTGTAATATCCGTTTTCTCCCCAATTTGGTCCCCATGAGTTCTTAATGATCCAGTATGGTTTTTCCTTCCTTCTTATTGGGGAGTATCCGGAAGCACCATAACCAACCATTAGTACACCATGGTCTAGCCTTTTTGAGCATACATATGGGCATGACACTCCCCCGATATATGTCTGCATATAAACCGCATTGATAGCCACTGCATGTGAACACAAAATTTAAGAACAAAAAAGATGAGATAAAAGAATCAATTCGTTAGGCAAAACTTAAAATCATAGAAAAAAGATGCATACCAGCAAGAGGACCATGTTTTACAAGATTAGCAGCAATCTGATCTTCATCAAGGGACACCACACTGAAATTACTCACAGATGCTACAATCTTGTTTTTATCAAATTTACATCTTCCACCATCACTCCCTGTGTAAGGATAGTCTTCTTCCCTCATAAGCCCACCAGCTTTCAACGTATACTCAAAAGCACTGTTCATCAGACCTCCATCACACCCCTGAATCACATGAATCCTTTTTCTTCTGGATCACACTACACTTATCACAAATTTCAATCAATACAATAACAAAAATTGACATAAAGTGATAAAGTAACAATCGAATCAAACCTCATGGTCACAATCAACAAGTTGCTGTTCACTAAGGCTTTCAAGCTTCCCTGTAGCAAGGAAATTAGCACCTTCGAGTGCTCCAGTTGTACTAAACGACCAGCATGACCCACACGAACCCTAATTTAACACTCATCATTTGAAAAATCAACGTCGAATTTTGCAATTTGCATTGCGGAAACAAATTAGAAACAGAGTGTCGATATACTGATTGTGTAAATCGGAGTACCTGATTCTTCACATTGGTGACTGCACCATGATCTCTCCAATCGAAATCATCGGGGAGATCGTTCGTCGGAAGGATGGGAGCCTCGCTGGCGTCTGCGGGGAACCTGAGACGAGATCTCAGTCCGAGATGCTTTCGGAATTCCGATGGAGTCATGTCGGAGAATTGAGTGACGCCATGGACCGCCGATGGATCAAGCTTCTGGTGACGCTTTGCGCGGCGGAGGTTAGTTTTGAAGACAGTGAACCTGTAATCGTGTTCTTCCTGTGACGCGTATGATTTACCGAATTTTCGCTTGAAGACACCGAAGTGATGCAGATGCTCCTCCGTATTCAACGACTGGACTCCGTCGTCGACCACCTGACGGATGAAGGCGTCGTCTCCGGCGACCAAAGAGGCAACGGCGAGAAGAGAAAAGGAGAGGAGGAGAAAGAGCCGGTGATCCATAATGTGTTGAATGTCGGAGTGTTTTGTTGCGGTTCTTCGATTTCAATTTCATGTACCGATTGTTCGCCGTCGAATGAATAGGAAGAAGGTTGCTTGAAAACAGCCAATAAGAAGAAGACACGTGGATGTGTTTCATTGGTGAAGCTTGCTTGTTGGTTCGGTTATTCTTGCTGCTTAGTATTGGACCGACCCGAATCCAAAGAATAAAGCGGGAAAAGGCATTTCGGGCAATTATATAGATTTTTATTAAATATAAAGTCTTTTTTTTAAATGAAAAAAGCCAATGATAATATATCATTAACACCATTTAGTTTTTTTCATGATAAAATATTATTTTTGGTTATACAAAACCAATAAAAAATTATAAGTATATGATTCTTAACTCAAACAAAACTTATTAGTATATTAAGATTAAGAAAGGTAATTTATTTATTCTGAATAAATAGTTTTTCTGACATCAAGGGTATTTCGGTAGCAAGTTTATAAAAACTTTTAGTTTTTTAAAAAAATTGAGTAAAAAGTTTTGTTCGTAAGTATGAACTTAAATTTTTTTATTTTAAACAAATAATGTATGATCCAAAAGTTGTTGCAAATATATTTTAAGAACTTTAATTTTAGTTTTTATATAATTTTACACCTTTAAAATGTTATAACTATTTTTGTCAAACATTTCTATATGATATAAAACTATAACTTTTAGCCACCAACTATTGGTTATTAGATTGCAACTAAAAACTAATTTTGCAAAACATATCCTAACTGTTTATTTTAGTTTTTTATAAAGGGATATCTCCAGAAAAGTCCTAATATTTTGGGCAAATTTTTAATAAAGTCCTAAATTTCATTTTTTGAATAAAAATGTCCTGACATTTTCACATTTTGAATAAAAAAGCCTAAGGAACCGGCTGATTTATTCACTTTAGCCCTTTTTCACATGTTCAGCAGGTCGTGGGACCAAATTGTTAATTTTTCGAAAATAATGAGAATTTTTTGCAGATTTCGTCAAAATTTTTATATAATGTATAAACATATTTTTTACATATCTATATCTATTTTTACGTATTTGTGTGTTTTTTATGTTTTTATATGTATATATTTACGTATTTTTTATGTATTTTAAATATATAAACGTATTTTTTTACTTATTTATATGTATTTTTAACCATTTTACATATTTTTTTATGTATTTTTTATGTGTTTTTTTATGTATTATGTATTTATATGTAATTCTATGTATTTTTACGTTTTTATGTATTTTTTATGTATTATGTATTTATATGTAATTCTATGTATTTTTACGTATTTATGTACTTTTTAAAGCTTTTTATATAGAAGTTTATGTATTTTAAATGTATAAACGTATTTTTTACGTATTTATATCTATTTTTAAGTATTTTACATATTTTTTTATGTATTACATATTTATGTATTTTTTAAGTGTTTTATATAGTTGTTTTTCAATATTTATGTATTTTAAATGTACAGACGTATTGTTTTACGTATTTATATGTATTTTTTTAAGTATTTTACATATTTTTTGTGTGTTTTTATGTGTTTTTTTATGTATTATGTATTTATATGTGTTTTTTTAGTTTTCATATATAGATGTTTATGTATTTTTATGTATATTAAATGATTAATTGTATTATTTTTACGTGATTAAACATTTCATATACATAAAAATACATAAACATCTATATAAGAAAACAAAAAAATTACATAAATACGCAAAAAAAAATATATAATACATAATACATAAAAAACACATAAAAACACACAAAAAATATGTAAAATACTTAAAAAATACATATAAATACGTAAAACAATACGTTTATACATTTAAAATACATAAATATACAAAAATATCTATATAAAAAACTTTTAAAAAATACATAAATACGTAATACATAAAAAATATGTAAAATACTTAAAAATAGATATAAATACGTAAAAAATACATTTATACACTTAAAATATATAAAAATCTATATAAAAAGCTTAAAAAATACATAAATACGTAAAAATATATAAAAATACATAATACATAAAAAATAACACATAAAAATACATAAAAAAATGTAAAATGGTTAAAAATACATATAAATAAGTAAAAAATACGTTTATACATTTAAAATACATAAAAATACGTAGATATATACATATAATAACATAAAAAAATATAAAAATACGTAAAAATAGATATAGATATGTAAAAAATATGTTTATACATTATATAAAAATTTTGACGAAATCTGCAAAAAAAGTCCCATTATTTTCGAAAAATTAACAATTTGGTCAAATGATCTGCTGAACAGGTCAAAAAGAGCTGAAGTGAATAAATTAGCTGGTTTCTTGGACTTTTTTTATTCAAAATGTGAAAATGTCAGGACTTTTTTATTCAAAAAATAAAATTTAGGAATTTATTAAAAATTTTCCCAAAATATTGGGACTTTTCTGGAGATATCCCTTTTATAAAATATAACTAGAGGTGTTGACGGGAATATTAAACAATTTAATCTGATGTAGTTTGACGAATATTATGGATTTTATACTTATTTAACTCAAACATATTTTGATCTATTATCCAAATCGTATGATCGGTTGATCTGTCGATCTTGCTATTTCTATTTTTGTGATTTAATTTCCAAAACATTATAATAGTTACAAGACTTGATGCAATGAATTGGGTTGAAAGAATAATGGACTTTAACAGAAAAAATTGAAAGAAAGGAAAAAGGCAAATATCAAAAGAATAGCATAACGACTGATAAAAAAAAAATTACTACAATCATTGATATAGCTCGCATTGTTGTCACTGAGGGGTAAAAAGGAACACAAACAATTCCAAGCGTTATGAACATAAAACTTAGAATTTGATTTTCAGATCAATTCACTGAAAATAGTACATTACTACATACATTAAGATCCTTTTTAAACAAAATATAACCTAATGTTTTCTAGAAAAAGAATTATAGAATAAAGATGGTAGACAACATATACATTTAAGAAACTAATTCTATATTAACGAAAGTAAATGAGCTAAATAAAATAAGTATATTATTTTTAATAAGCCATCTCTAACCTAAGGAGAGTAAAAAACAAATAATATCTTTACTTTGAAACAGGAAAAGTAAACAATTAAAATGTATGTTTGGCAAAATTAATTAATAGTTAAAAGTTGAAAACTATAGTTTTTATTGTTTTTAAATGTTTGGCAAAAATAATTATAATAGTTTGAAATGTGTAAAATGAAATAAAATCATCTAAAAGCTCTAAAAATCATGAATTAGATTTTGGATATGATATTTTTATTCAAAATAAAAGCTTCAAGCTACAGTTGAATAAAACTTTTTTTTTAATTCGTTTTTTTTCATAAAAAACTAAAATATCCTCCTTAAACATACTCTAGAACTTGTCTTGATTATAATCTTTCATATTAATTTCAAATGATGACCACAAAAATGACCGTTTTTCATATATGGATAAAAAAACTTAAAAATGACAAAGTGGCCCTCTATTTTAAATGTCAAACTCCTATATTCAAGAGTTTTACCTATTGAACTTTTTTTGATTTTTGTTTTTTTTTTCTCTATCATTTTTCATCATCATTCTCCTCACATTTTAATTTCAAATCTTCAGTTTGTAACGAACAAATGTGGGTTCTCATCTTTCTTCTCTATAATATCATTCTAATAGATATCTAACATGAAAATACACTTCGAAACTCAACCCAAACACATGAAAAACAAATTGAAACTCATGATAAAGTTAAAAATTTTCAATTTTGCCCTAAAAATATTTTCAAACATTCGTAATTAATACAGGAGTTCGAAAATGGTCTATTTTCAAACTTCATCATCATTTTCATATTTTTATAAGAAACATCATTATCTGATATTCATGTATATGAAAAATGGTTATTTTGGTAATTATTCATTATTCAACAATGCACGGTTATCCAATACTTTTATCACTAATTTTAGTCTTCTATCCTTATTTAAATATTTCGAAATTATGATGCTTTCCATTAAAAGTATCTTAAGCTTGGCCTCTAAGTTTCATATCTCTCGAATAGGTATCCAATATTTTATTATTCAAATCTATAGAGACACATGTAGAGCTGAATTTTTGACCTTTTACTATCTTAGGTAAAATTATGAGATAAGATAGATATCTTTGGAAATAAAGCCTGCCAAAGTGGTAGTGGTACTGCCAATTTTTCTTAAGATAAAGTTTTGCTCCATTTGAATCTATGTAACGGTAGGGTAAATGATTGAGAATGCTATAATTAAATAAATACAATTTTTTATTGTAAAACATTAATATTAAAATGTTGAAGAAAGACGATTTTGTACATTAAATGAGTGAAAAATATACTAATAAATTGAAGCTCTTTCTAGTGATGTTGGTTTATTTATGGTAGTGGAAGAAACTTTGAAGGCCTTTGGTCAATGGATGTGTGGGAAGTGTATGACTTTGCAGGCTCTTAGCCGTTATTGTCATCACCCGGATGGTCGTGTGAGGTTTATTACAGGGGATGACGGTTCGAGTCGTTATATTGTCGGTATTCTAAAGCCGTCAACTAAAGAGTCGGTGACAAATGCTCTTGGAGGTTTGGTTTTTGATGTTGCGCTCCTTGATCGTGTTTTTAAAGAGCCTATCACTACTGTCAAGAGTATCCCCCATAGTTGTCGTCTTGCTTTCTCTCAGGCTTTGAAGACCGCTCTTTACAAGGTGATTGCCCAACCTGGCTCGGTTGAGGCATGAATGTGTTTGTTACTTCTTCCTCGATGCACACTGCAGGTGTTTAGACCCAAAAATAGACAAGAATGTAGGTCTGGGAATAGAAAATCTTTACAGCAAAGCTCCATCCTGAAGTCCTTGGATACATGGGGGAAAGAGGGTGGTATCACGAAGTTAGTTCAAAATATGTTAGACAATCCTGAGGTTGGAGCTATGAGGCAGGGTGGAGGCATCCTTCTGAAGGAGGCTACATCAAGTAACACTAACATCAGATAGTGTCTCCGTAAGGTTGCAGATGGTCATTTTACCGCAGCAGTGAAAGTGTTATGCTCATCGGGTGTTGCACCATATAATGGTGATACTATTAAAGCTTTGGAGGACAAACACCCTTTCAGACCACCCCCATCCATGCCGAGCCCCATAATTTCTGAACCTCCCCTTGTAACAGACTTTGACTGTGTATTTGGTTGCTCAACACTTACTAGACGCCCTTTGTGGAGAAGGGTCTGCTATTGCCACAGATCTCATACATGCTATCACTTCAGTTGTTAATTTATTGTTAGCGGGAAGATGTCCAACCATTTTGGCAGAGTTTGTTGCATCCGCTCCTCTCACGCCTCTACTTAAACCTGACAACGGGATCCGTCCGATTGCAGTAGGCACTATATGGAGACGTCTGGTTTCCAAGGTTGCCATGAAGGTGTGGGTAAAGAAATGGCCAAGTACCTTAATGATTTTCAGTTCGGGGTTGGTGTATCTGGCGGTGCTGAGGCTGTGTTACACAGTGCCAATAGGGTGTTGAGTGAACACCATGCTGATGGGTCTCTTGTAATGCTGACTGTGGATTTTTCGAATGCCTTTAACCTGGTGGATCGATCAGCATTGCTCCACGAGGTAAGAAGATGTGCCCTTCCATTTCTTTGTGGTGAATTTCTTGTACGGGCAAGCAGCGAGACTTTATATCGGAGACCAACATATATGGTCTGCCACTGGGGTGCAGCAAGGTGACCCCTTGGGCCCTCTTCTTTTTGCCCTCGTTTTGCACCCGCTTGTGCACAAGATTAGAGACAATTGTAAGCTCCTTCTCCATGCTTGGTATCTAGATGATGGGACTGTCATTGGGGATTCAGAGGAGGTGGCTAGAGTGTTGAACATAATTCGGTTGCATGGTCCAGGATTGGGTCTTGAGTTGAACATCAAGAAAACGGAGATTTTTTGGCCCTCATGTGATGGTAGGAAGCTTCGTGCCGATTTATTCCCAACGGATATAGGGAGACCTTCTTTGGGGGTGAAGCTCCTTGGGGGGGGGGGGGCTGTTAGCAGAGACGCAGGGTTTATTAGTGGGCTGGCCATGAAGAGAGCGGTCAATGCTGTTGATTTGATGGGTCTTCTTCCACAACTATGTGACCCGTAGAGTGAGCTCCTTTTGCTTCGATCATGTATGGGCATTGCAAAACTTTTCTTTGGTTTAAGGACATGCCAGCCGGTACACATAGAAGAGGCAGCGTTATTCTTTGACAAAGGATTGCGCAGGTCTATCGAGGATATGGTGGTATGTGGAGGCCCCTTCTTTGGAGACATTCAGTGGCGCTTGGCTTCCTTACTATTCGTTTCGGTGGTTTGGGTTTGTACTCGGCCTACGAGGTTTCCTCATACGCATTTGTAGCCTCGAGGGCCTAATCTTGGGCATTACAAGACCACATCTTACGTGACAGTGGCATATGTGGTATGGACTCGGATTACCTATGTGCTATGACTCGTCTTTTCGATACGATTCCGGGATTTGACTGTAGCGGTTTCACTAATAAGGACACCGCCCCCCTAAATCCCAAAAAGCTTTGGCGTGTGCCCTTTTTAGCAAAATCGTCCAAGATATGGAAGTCGACTTCGACATGACTGTCAGACAGAAAGCAGTCATTGAGTGTCTACGGGCGCCTCATGCTCATGATTTTCTGCTAACTATCCATATTGATGGTCTTGGCCAGCATATGTCTCCTGTGGAGTACCGAACTATCCTTCGTTACCGCCTCATGATTCCCATATTCCCAATTGACGAGATATGCCCAGTTTGTCGCAAGGCATGTTTGGATACCTTTGGGGAACACGCGGTTCAATGTAGAGAGCTCCCTGGTTTCAAGTATAGACATGATGTGGTTCAGGATGTTCTCTTTGATGCTTGTCGACGTGCTGGTATTTCTGTGAAGAAAGAAGCGCTAGTGACCTTTTTGACGGACCCGCAGGGTGGCAGGTCCACACTTAGACCGGCTGATATTTTGGTCTTTGGATGGATAGGAGGGAAGCATGCATGCGTGGATCTTACTGGGGTCTCTCCTCTCGTTGGTTTGGGGAGCGGGGGTTTCACAGCTGGGCATGCCGCTTTGAAAGCCGATGCGTGCAAAGTGGTAAAGCACGAGAATGCATGTATAGAAAATCAACATGTGTTTGTTCCTTTTGCATTCGATACATTGGTTTTCTCGCACTAGAGGCGTGGAGCTCCTTAATAGAGTCCAACGGGTCATGCATTCTAATGTCATATCTCCTAGATCTACAAATGTTGTTTTCAAAAGAATTGATTTTGCCATCCAGAAAGGGCTAGCGGCGCAGCTTGTTGCCCGTTTGCCTTCAATCGATATGTATTGAACTATTAAGTTTTGAATGTTTAAACCATAAATTGATAAATGGTAGAAGTGGTCGTTTGATACATGTCGCATGAGTTAGGTTTAATTAAGTCAAAGTCTTACTGATTCAGTCTGTTCAAAGATTATAAGACCGAATCAAAGACTCATATTTGTAGTATCAAATGGTTTGAATCTGACTTAATCAGACGATACCTCTTATCAGACTCAATAAAATACATTTCAAAAGTCCATATAAATATGTTTTTTTTAAACAATTTCTTAGAAATAGGCAAAGCGCGTTGGGACGATTGACGATCGGTACCAATTATGCTTAAAGGCTCCCCACCACGCATTTACATGAAACATGCATTAAACTCATTTGAAAACTACAAACAAAAACTATAATATAATCTACAAAATCTTTTATTTTTCTTTAATTTGGTTTTATATATGCAAACAATGGAAGCTTAATCAAAAGAGGGTGTGTAATAAATTTGTACGAATAAGTATTTTTCAAAACTTAGTAAAAAATGAAGGTAATTTTTTCCCATTAACCACGCATTTAGCAATAGACATTGCAATGCTAACATGTTCTATGTAACAAATGAGGCCTACACATAATACAAGCACCAAATATGTTTGAAAAATAAGCAATTATAATTATCATGCATATAGTTTCATATAGTTTCATGTAAGATAACCAAGTTGGAACTATAAACATACGATTTTGAGACAAAATGGATTTGTTTGTTACACAAGGCTAGATTGGACTAAACTAAACTACACAAACTTTGTAAAACTATTTTCAATGATGATCTTTGTAAAACTATTTTCGATGATGAAGATCATGATACAAAATTGCATTTTTTATCACATGTACAACACAGTCCAAATGCTATACATGTCAAACGCAGTACAACATGTTCTAAGTATCACCTTGCTTGAAAAATCGACAAGATTCATATCACACTAAAATGTGATCCATAAAAGTATCACACTATCACAAGAAAAAACAACCAAAATTCAACTATAACAAAAACAAGATAAACAACATAAGAACAACAAAAGGATGGTAAAATATAGTAATTTTAGATTATATAAATCCATCACAAGTAATATATAATATCACTCTTTACATAGAGAGAAAGAGGGCTTCAAGACTTATTCTAATATGATAACCAAGCTTGTATTTAGCAATTTTTTATTTACATTCTCTCGCATGATATAATATGAAAATCATTAAAAGACCTCTATGATATAATATCATCTTCTTCTATGAGTCAAATCAATGGTGGCCTTTTCTTGTTATAGCTGTAAATAGAAGAAAAAATGGCCATAGAACCAAAATCACTATGCACAAGTGAAAAATCCACATGCAAAATGTAGATGATCTTCGACAATTGCACCAATGGTGATCCACCTTTTTTCCACATTTGTAACAAAATTCAATTCCACATCTACACCAAATGTTTAAAACCCATCATCATATATTCATATTCAAGAACAAGAACAAGAATCAAATCAAGAAAATCTTGAAAATTTTATATTCTTTTTGGGTTTTAGAGACACCATATGGATATGATATGCAAAAAGTTTCGTTGTAAATATGATCATCTTGAATTTCCCAAAACATAAACTTTTCCAATTTTAGGAGAAATTTAGGTATGAAAACACCAAATGTCATTCTCGGTTTTTTAAATCAAGAAACAACATATGATGCAATGTTTCTTCTTACTTCAATTATAACCGTAATCAAGCTAGGAAACACGACAAAAACCATGAATTTTTTTGAAATTTTAGACACAATTTGTGGATCTAATCAGTTAACCATGGATTCCACCTTCTAAATTCTAATTTATCTTGATTCTTTCCCTCAATACCCTCAATCGGTTCTTTCTTTCTTAAATTGAATAAGAAATTCACAAACACAAATACCCAGGATAATAAACAAAACAATCAAGTTATCCACATTAATATATGAAAAAAAAAATAAAAAAAAAACCTAAATTTGTGAATGGAATCTTGATATGTGTTTGATAGAGGGAATAAGAGATACCTGCATTTAACAATGGCACAACCTTTGACAAGTTCAACACAGTGTCTGCACATAGGGCACCTCATCCATTGATTCCTCTCAGAAAGAACACCAAAAGCGATGTCGTTTCGATCCCTCATTTCACCACTCTCCTCGCACCTATACCCAGCATGCCATGGAACCTTACATCGGAAACAGAAGGCTTTCTTACAATTAGGACATACACATCGCTTTAAATTACCTTCGCCACCACACTCGTTGATAACCAAAGCCGAACAATCTCTGTTAGGGCAGTAAACCCGATCAAGCCCTAGCACCGCCGACTCGCAGAGTACGTCACACCATTTGTCGAACAGTTGGTGTGCAATCTTTGGGCGACATGAGAGGGGCTCGAGGGAGTGATCACAGGTGAGAGCTGGACATTTGATGTCTGATACGTTGTCCTCGAGCTTCACTTGGATGTATTTGATCATACAGTCGGTGCAAAAGGGGTGGACGCATCTGTTGCTGTTCCTGAATTTCTTGTTCGGGAGTGTTACGGGTTCTATGCAAATCTCGCAGGTGAATGTCGATGATGCTGATTCTTCTTCTTCAATTTGTTGAAGGGTTTGCGAATTTGGTTGGGGTTTCTGATTAACATTTCCCATCTAACCAAATACCAAAAAGAAAAAGGTGCAGTGAAATTGTGAGCAGGAGGGGTGGAGGTTATAGAGTAGTGTCGAGTAATGGCGTAAACTGAAGGCATTTACAAGGGAAAATTGCTAGTAATTGTGGCGAAAATCGCTGTGTTTTTGGTATCCTCCATGAGGATGATTTAGGGTTCTTGGTCATTCATTAGTCCACTTTATCGACTCTAGAGTCCAAGCCGGGGTGAGAACTGGGACCGTACTTGGAAAAAAATGTACCTGTACCAATTATTAAATTATAAATGCATATAATATTTTAGGGCCAAAATTACTTAATTGGTCCCTCTCGTTTATCATATTTACATCCCCAGGACAATCATATTTAAGTTGGCTTGTCTTTTTTAGGTTTCAGGACTTTATGTTCATAATGATGGCATGTTTGTCACTCTTTTTTGGGTTTCCATACTTAAGACTTTATGTTTGTAATGATGTCATGTTTGTCTTTAGTACTTCGGACTTCGGAGAAAGCAAATCTTAATCGAACCTTTAAGTTTAGGAGATACAATTTATTCATGGTAACACTTCATATGTTTTTCGATATGTATTTATCTTAATAAATTGATGACATTCAATACGTGTCATAATATACGATCGTTGGGTTGGCAAAACTTCATATGGTTGTCGGGTTGGTTAAATATTATCAAAAAAATAAAAAAAACCTTACCCCCACCGCACTTAACACAAAAACTCATTTCTCATTCTCTTTAAAGAAATAGTCATGTCTCTACAATACCACCACCAGCCACCCAACCATTGTCATCACAACAACATCCACCTCCACCCAGCTTGAAGACCCATCTCTTTCCTCTCTCCCTCACTAACAGTTCCTCCCTTTCCTCACCATGAACTCGTTACCAACAAAGACTAGTAGAAGAGGAGGCAAGTACTTTTGATTCAAAACCTATAAATAAAGGTGACAGTCAGAGGATGAGGGTTCATTCGATCTAGGGCTTCGTCGATGAAGGTAACAATTAGAGGAAGAGTAAGGTGATGGGAAAAGTCCCCAGCCAACCCTTTAGATTTTGATTCAATAACATGCATTAATATATGGATCCTTAGGTGAAGGAGATTATATAATTCGTGAAACAAAATGGGAATTTATGAGGTGGTATCGGCGAAGGTGGTAGAAAACCGGCGAAGGTGACGGTTATGGTGGTGTCGGTAACAGTGGCGGACGATGGTGACAATATGAGGTGGTATCGACGAAGGTGGTAGCAAACCGGCAGTTGGTCTGTTTGTTCATGAATGTGTGTGTATGTTTGTGTGTGTGTTTTAAAGAATAAACCTATAAAATCTAGAGTGTGTGAATGTGTTCATAAAGATGTCGAGGAGTGAGTGTGTGTGTGCACGTTCATGAAGAACAAACCTAGATGGGTGGTAACGGTATGGAGAGAGAGAGAGAGAGAGAGAGAGAGAGAGAGAGAGAGAGAGAGAGAGAGAGAGAGAGAGAGAGAGAGAGAGAGAGAGAGTGTGAGTGTGTGTGTGTGTGTGTGTGTGTGTTGTTTTTCTTTTCAAGATTCTTTTCTTTTAATTTTTTAAAAAATAATGTATAAAAATGCAAAACAAAATATAAAATGGCCAAAAGAAAAGAACTTTTTATATGATCAAAGGACTAGACAATAAAATGAAACAATATGGACTAAATGCATAAAGTTACTAACATTGTCCTTAGAGTGTTAAATCTGGTAAAGCATATGGACCCATCATGTAATTTTGTATATTTTGTAATTTTGCATATTTTGTAATTTTGTCTATTTTTAGGCAAATTGAAAAATTAAACATTTCCATACGCTTTTTTATCAATTAATCTGTTTCCTTCTGTTTTACTATTTAATGAAAAAAACATATTCTCTTATCATTTAGCATACAAAATTGTGTTTTAAATCATTTCTTGCGGTGTATTTCTTATACATCAATGCATGGGCGTTTTGTTAAATAATTTTAATGAATGTTAAATAGACAACTTAACATTTAACAAACAAATCATGTCATTCAATGTTGGCATGCTTTTTTTATAAATTATCTTAAACACCAATACAATACTGCAGATAGATTTTTAGATTATCGTATGCTTCTCTATAAATATTTCCAAATCATTGGAGAAAACCATAATATTCGTTTTTCTTCCTATTCTAGATAGTGTTCGTATTTTATTATTAAGGAAAAATACAAAAAAAATACAACCATTTATATATCAACATTTAGAAAACTCTTACATTTTGTTTATAGGCAGAAAAACCATTACATTTTCAATTACCTTTCACATTTACCCAAATATTTGTTTTTTTAGAAGTTACCGGCTGTTTTGTGACATGACATTTATCTTGTTCGTTTTTAGGTTGACATTGAAAAAAATAATAATCAATGTTTGCTTGAGTAAATGGTTGTTGTGTAAATGATTTATTTATCACGTTTTACCTTAGACAATGGGCAACGTCACTTATATTTGTTTTCATTTTAACCTAAAACAAAAAATGATAAATGTATAATGTCACAAAACAACTAATAATTTCTTAAAAAAGTTGATATTTGAGTTAACGTGAAAGGTACTTAAAAATATAGTCTTTGAGATGGATCACAGTTAAAACATACAATGAACAATACAAAACTCGTAATACAAATTACATTATTCTATTAACTTATAATAGTGATTACAATGTTTGCGATCAAAAGGTACATCAAAAGATTACAAGTTCATTAAAACATAACACTAAGCTTAATAGTTGTTGGAACAGATGTGCCATAACAAAAACAAGGAATAGTGATTTATAACAAGGATTCTATACTACTCGATGTGTGTGCACTTATAATTCTTAGGTTCCTAAGAATACATGCATTTTAAAGATACATCAGCAATAATGTTGGTAAGTTTCAAAGGTTTTGACTCTGCGTATTTTTATAATCAAAATTATATTTATATAATTATGATTGGTGGACCCGCTTATATAAAAACGTACTTTTTATAACCAAAAAGTATAAAATTAGAGAATATAAGTATTTACCTTACTTATGTGAATACGTGTTTGTAACTCATACAATTGTTTGTATTGTGTATAAGTTCTGCCTCACTTATGTGAATTTGTTCTTGTAACCTCGTACAAGTGAGTTTGTTGTTTATAATTATTTATTTATAAAAATATAAGTTTTATAACAACAAAAGTTTTATAAGTATTTATTTTACTTATATAATATACTGGTACTTATCGATCGTTCTAAGTATATGTTTATGCTACATATAGTCTTGTTTCAACTCATATGAATGCTTTTAGAGTGTACTTTGGGGTTATCATGAACCTATAATCAAGCTATATGACTAGATATGCCTCTGTATGACACTAAAAGGAGGCGTGCCGAACAACATCACCAACGCCTCATCGACGTCGTGAAAGAGATAGAGAATGAATAGTTATCGTCCATTTTGACTCGTCAGACGGAGGTTGTAGGTAGTAACCACAGGCAATGGTGTCAACTCGTATAAATCTATGCACAATGTTCCTTGCTCCTTTAAAATTAATGGTTGTAACACATAGGGTTTCACAAAGTTTTCGATCGGCACACTTTTTGAGCAAAACGACACCACATGGTTACTATTTCCCTAAAGATCACAAAATCAATTTTAACACATAAAGATGTGTTCAAGTAATCATATACAACAATTCCCTAGACTCCGCTACGATTTTTCCCATGCGTATCTTAGACCCCAATTCCACTTCCTAACCTTTGGTATAGATTCTTTCTCGTGTAATGTCCTGCCTACAAGGCACACTATACCATAATTTATTCTTAACCAACTCATCATGTTGAAATCATAATTTCTTAGTGTCACACAACAATGTAACACAACTAGAAAATTTATAACTTTCGAAAATGATTACAACATTTATTCATACATTATGTCTTTTATATCAGGCTACACACTATACTATTATTTATGTGGAACTACAACTTCATGCTTTAAACTTTGGGTAATTAGCCTCCTTCACTTGGTCTCTTCAAGCATTTTCTGTTCCATCCTCTGTTGCATCCAGGATCATCTGGAATGCTCGTACCTTTGGTTTTGGTGGCACATCCTGCTTCACAGCTTCTTCCTTATTCGGGCAGTCCTTCATCACATGCCCTTCTTCCCTACACGTGAAACACACCCTTCCATCATAGTTGCACTCATCAGAATAGTTACCAGGTCTTCCGCACATGTAGTAGGTCACTTATCTTTTACATTTCCTAACATGCTTCTTTTTGCATTTATTGCACCAATCTGCTTCATTATTATCCATAGATCTCTTGTAACGTCCCAAAAATAAAACCCAAAAATTTCATTTTTAAATTAATAAAACAAGTATCCCAAAAACATCATCATACAAATCCAGATAAAACAAATTTATCAATCATCATATCATATCAGAGTAAATCAAGAAAATGCGGAACGAGGTGGTGTGTGCTCTGCAATCATCCCGAGCTCTTCCCTTTGGAACCGAAAGTACCTGAAACATAAACTGAAAAATGTAAGCATAAAGCTTAGTGAGTTCCGCAACATACCACATACCATACATACATAACACATAACGAGCCCCGCCCAATGAGTGTAACGGGACCCGCCCACACTCGTATAACGGGCCCCGCCCAAACTCGCATAACGGGCCCCGCCCAATAAGTATAACGGGCCCCGTACAAACTTGCATAACTGGCCCCGCCCAATGAGTATAATGGAACCCGCCCAAACTCGCATAACGGGCCCCGCCCACATACAATTCATATAAGCATAACAGGTAAAAGCATACAGAATAACCATCGGGGCCCTGCCTAGTAAGCATACAAGCACATACACATACAAGTGTCACACAAACATCGAGTATTCTAATATAACAGATCATGGGACGACATTGGTGCCTTCAACCCGCTAAACATGGTGAGGAAACTCACCTCGAACTGCTGAATAACATGAATAAATCTCTGGTTGCTCGTCTAACAAATCCCCAAGCTATCAATACCAATAACATCCAATTAATAATTGGATTCTAATCCATAACTATCAGTCCAAAATTAGGGTTAAAATACCATTTTACCCCTTACCTAGTTTGGTCCAAGACTAAGGCCCACACCTATGATCCAAGAGGCCCAAATACCAAAATAATCATCCAAGGCCCAATCATGGCCCAATTTTCCAAATTGGGCCCAAAACCTTTCATGGGCCTGAATCCAAGGTCCAAACATATT